TTATAAACATGCCGCAGGCCGAGTGCAGAAATAGCCTCACCAATTGTAGCGTCTAGCAGATACATCATATTATATGTTGTTTCCTTTACCTATAGTATGCCGAAAAAGCCGAGACGGATGATTTTAGGACCGAAGCTTCGGAAGATTGTAACAATGCTCCACATACTCACCTGAGCTCGTCCTTTTCTTCTGAAAGCGGTATTCCTTAACTTTCAGTGGTATATTCCAATTAATTTCATCACACAAGTTGCAGGTGCACATAAACGGAAAGCTGCGGTGCCCCACCGTCGTGATGAGCTTGTTGCGCAGACTGCGCAGTCGTTAATAGTTCCGAATGGCGTATTGTTGGATCTGGAGTCGGACGCCGCAGCGAACAGCGCATCGGTAAATCTTCCAATTTGAAAATACTTTTTCCATTTCACCACCTTTTTCCATGCAGGCGACTCAGTTTTCCTGAGTGTCCAGTTTATGAACTTTAGCATGCATCACTGTTGTCTCACATCGACGACTCCGCGATGCAGTGTCTTGACCGTCTCATAAATGGGAACCTTGATGAAGTAGGTTTGAGTCAGTTGCGCTTTGTTTCTCTTTCCAGTCATCTGGCCTTTTTCAGGTGTTCCCATTCTGTGACGATCATGACAATCTTTCGGGATTTGCTGCTGGAATGGAAAGCTCTTTTCATGCAAATCAGAGCAGTGGCAATACATATCAACAAGAGGTATCTTACATTTTTACCTACAAGCGATTCCATAAGGTTACGTCTGTGTAGTTTCAGGGAACTGGAGACCTGTTCTCTGAGTCTGCTCCTCCTCCACTTGATGTCGGTCCATCACATAGCCCACCACCACCAGAAGTGGTACACAGCTCAAAAAGTCGCTCGATCGATGAAGGAGAAATCATTAGTGAAGAAAGTCTGCATGTAAGCCTACATTGATTGCGTGACCTGTGGTTTCGAGCTTGCAAAGAATCCCTCTTCCAGGGAAGAACCGAGAGAACGGCGTCGCTAGGCAAAATAGTAACAAGATCGGATGATCATGAAATCAATACAGGTCGTGAGCACTCACCAGTTCCTCGAAGTGATTCAAGACGTTCCTCGCTGGACTCTGGGTAAAGGGCGTTATAATTTGCCTGCACTTTTCTTTCAAGACGATCACATGGAGTGCCAGCAGAAGCAGTAGTTTTCTAATTGCTTGTTTTCAACTGTGCTCATCTTGTTCTTTCAGAAGGAGTAGGCGCGACGAGAGAAAAGTGGCGGACCGTTTGAAGGATTTCAGTCGTAATCCTCCAAAATCAGATCATCGTTCAAGAGTGAGTGACGAATCCTTTTTTTTTCACAAAAATGTTGAATTGCCAGTTATCGTATTAGTGCTGTTTGATGTGATCCCTTCTGCTTCTCAACTTTATGACGAAGATAAAAGCAATGTTGCCAAAAAAAGTCTTATGTCTTTTGTTGTAGAAGTCGACTACTGATCGCGCAGAACTGAAGGATGCTGTCATATTCGAGTCGGGTAACGTTCCCCGAGTGCACACACCTTCGACCACAGGAAGTCGTTTGTCAAGAGAGCGTACACGGTTGGTCACTCTGTGGCATTTCTTCATTTTGGCCCTATTATATCCTTTTCAGTGGATTTTCGTCGTTGTTTGAGGAAGGTCACAGCAATCCGTCTTCTCGTGATTCGTCACCTCATCGTGAAAAGTTAAGCAGAAAGGAAGAGGAACGTCGTCAGATACGTGAGAAGGAAATGGGAAAGAAAAAGGAGAAGGCAACGGGATAAGGAGCGTTTGAAACGACAGCGGTAGGCTCAATATTTTCAACGTTTTGCTTATATCGTTGATTTTTTTCTGTAAATTCAAGCAAATAGGCGGATATTTAGGCGCGACCGCCATCGGGATGGTGACCATCCTTCACGGCAATAGTCCGGATCAGGGAAAATCGGGAAGAAGAAAAACCCCATGGAGTTGATGAGGAGAAAGCCCGCGATGCGAGAGAAAAGGAGAAAAAGCGGGAACTTGATGAGGAGAAAGCTCGCGATGCGAGAGAAAAAGAGAAAAAAGCGGGAACAAGTTGAGGAACGTCGAGTATTAGATGAGGCCGAAAAAAAGAAAGCCGAAGAAAAAAATCACGAAGAGAATTGGTGAAGAAGAAGAAAGAGGAGGAAGTGGAAGCCCGCCGGCAAGCAAGAGCTGCAGAGACGTGCGGATGCAATGCGGAGGAAGGAAGAGGAAGATAAAAGGCGACGTCAGGAGGAAAAAGAACGTCAGGGATGGAGAAAAGAAGAGAAGAAAGAGAAGGCGGCCGCCAGAGGAGGAAAAGAAAGAGGGAAACGAGATGAGGGAATTTAGCTCGAACGTTGATGAGACGAGGAAAAAATACAACCGCGACAACGTGAGGAACCGGTGAAGTAATGTTTGGCGAACAGAGAAGGGGGACTCACAGCGAGGAAATAAGCAGAGAGAGCGGGGGAAAAGACGGCGCAATAGTAGAAGCGAGTGATGAGATTCACAGGAAAACGGCACAAAAGTCACCCGGTCACTCTTGATGAATCTGAGTAGCTCTGGAATGAAGACAACATCTGTTCCGCTGATGTTGCTCATCCTGTTCGAAACGACGAGGAAATGTCGTGCAATCGGAAGGAGTCACGTAGTCAGGAACAGAAAACGCGTAATCCTAAAACTGAGCAGAGGAAAACTTCTGAAACTATAAACAGGGCCACGCTGCGAGCGCAGATGGGGTCGCCTGAAAAAGGCGAAGGACGATGTAGCTCCTGTTCTCGGAAAGGGAAGAGAGAAAGAAAAGAGAGTTCCAGAGAAAGAATAACTCGCCGACTAAACACGGCAAAGCGGCTGAAATGTTAAGAAAGGTACGTGTCTGTTGATCTCCTATTGGACTCTCAAAAATAAATCGCTATGTTAACTTTCTTGTGCTTCATTAAATTTTGGGAAACATTGAAAATGAAATAGCATTGATTCCTGTTCCTCTTATTTAAACAGCTCTGCTTCAAGACCATCCTCCCGGCCGCCAATCCGCCTGCACGACGCGTCGCGAGGAGCAAGAACAAAAAAAGTTGCAGGGTAAACAAGCCCTTAGACCAGGGAAAGGGGATGGACTGAGCCGATCCTTGGTGTTCTTGGAATCGCCATCAAATAAGGATAATGGAAAAGCTTAACTCGGAGGTTGGCTTTTAGCGTTTTGATGGAGCTTTACGTTTACCATTTTTGATGGACTTTTTATAGTGCAAAGGGAATCGAGTGGCGCTCTTAACGAATTCACAGGGGGGAAACCTTCCTCAAGTAGTCAAAGAGGTTTACAGTCAACCAGAGTAAGTGGTGCTCTACAAGCTTTTTTGTATTAGGTTAAAGATCTTACTTTAATGGTCCTTATTTCTTGTAATTATCTTTATCAATTTGGTCCCCTCCCACCCCTATGCACTCCAGATAACCGAAAGCGCGAAACTCCGCGTCCGAGACTACAATCAGTTTCTTTTTGCGGAAACCGCCAGGGGATTGCAAAGGCGAAAACACCACCTGCAGTAGAGAAGAAGGTACTTTGTAAAGCTCATATTTCCTTTTCATTAGTTGAACGAAATCTCCCAGTAACTATTATTCAGTGGTTACTTGAAATCAATTTCCAAATAGTCCCTTGCATAGCTGTTTGTTGGACAAGCATGCAAGCGTAGCACAATTTTTCTTGGGAGCGTGGGAGAGCTACTGGTCTGGCTCAAGATAGCTCTGATATAAAGTTGAGGCAGAGAGTAGTGGAGTAGTGTAGGGGAAGGCATTGACAAGGCTATGTTTCCCTTTTGCGGCTTTTGCCATAAACTGTATCAAGAAAACACTATGCGCAAAATCTTGTGATATATGGAAAACTTCAAACTGACGTGGCAGCAATATCTTGCGGCAATGCTACTTTTCTTGCTCCTGGGAAATTCGTAGAGTTCTTGGCAGGCCCAAAAAATCGATCATAAATTCTCATGCTTCAGCGGATTTATGGTTCCATAATGGACTCGTTCATTGATTTGTCTCAGAGCAGCGGAATCATCGGTTCAGTGACAGCGAAAGTGAGTTCTAAACATCAAATTTCTGGTTGGGAAAGTGGGAACAAGAAATCTGGTGTGCGGACACGCATTGTGTCTCAGTAACAAAGCATCAAAAAGTGGCTACTGAAAAGGTGTGGGGAACAAGCGTGTTAATTTTCAAACGGGATCAGGAAGGTCTCTATTTAAGAACAAGAAACTACGGAATATTCAAAGTGGTTAACCAACAGAGAAGCGACTAACCAATTGGTTTTTTCAAAGGCGCATTCTTCCAGATGTGAGTATACAATTCAATCCTCAATCTTTTTGTCATAAATAGAAATTAAGGAAGTCTCAGATCCCAGGAGAGGCATTAAAGACGAGTTTTTAGTGGGCATGTTCCTTGAGAAAGTTAGCGACAAACACAAAAGGCTGATGGAACGGGAAAACGATCGAGCGACAGCATCTCCAGCTATGAGGTAAGCGGCATAACTCATTGTTCTATCGTTCATTCTGTGTCTCGAAACGGTCAGTCGCTTTTTCTATGAAAACGGAGAAAGCTGCTTGCCCACCCAGGTAGGTTCTGGATCAATCAACCATAATCCACTTGAAAAGTTCCCGTCCCAAGCGTTTCTTTATAGGCTTCCCATTCTCTCATTTGTCCTGTCCGATGGCCGTGGCTGCTGTTTCCACGGTCTGCGCTTTTGTATTCCCTAAACACTGGTCTGCGGCGAGGAAGAGAAAAGCGGTACTACCCGCGACTTGGCTCTGCCTCCTGACCCGGTCGAGGGCGTCCACGGCTTCAACAGGTGATCACGAAAACGGTGCTGCAACAGCAAGCAACACCGCCTAATTCCTGCGCCTTGCTCTGGCGATGAAATATAGCAGGAGCGTTTTTATTGATTCCATTGAATGTATTTACAGGATTCCGATCGTAATGGTGTTCCTTCTCCCGTTGGCTTCCCACATTTTCCTCGGCAGCAACAGCAGAAGTTTGCCCCTCAAAAGAGACCGCTGCCAGCGACAAGTTTGGACTCATACCTTGGCTCTCCTCCTCAGGTATGTTTTAAGAAGTCGTTTTGTGAATAAGTCCGTCTAGGAAATATTTGTTGACGAAATTTTGCATTTTTCTGACTTTCTATGGTTGAATACGTTTGAAACTTTTCCGTGAACAAGCGCTTTTGTTGTGCGATTACTCAACGCTATTAATGCCTCAAAAGTTCGGAGAACTCTTGAAAGTTACCGTTCTGAATAAGCCTTCCTTGTTCTGAGCGATTTTAATGATAAGGAGATCCTACTTCATCTGTCAGTAATTCAGTTCACACTGACTGAGTGTTCAGCGCTGGGAGCTATGTTCACATCAGGGTGGAAAAGTAGGGAGTTTATAGAAATCATTGATATTTTTCTTGGTGTTTTATTGCTTTTAGAGATTCTTATCTTTTATTCTTCTACAGTGGGTACCCCTCCCATGTTGGAGACGTGGTTGAGTTTGAAAATTTTCCTCGTCACCAAGCCTGGCTGTGTTCACCACTTCCCACATGGGAGTCCCCTTATTTCTGAGAGAAGTGGCAGTAATAATCCTTATACTGATCTCAGAGATTTTGTCATAAAAATGCTTAGAGTTCTTGCTGTTGTTAGGAAAATGTGTTACTTTGTTTCTTCAAGAAGTCGCCTGATATTCGCGATGGTGAAGCAACGTCGTCACGTGGTTCGGGCAAAAAATGCAAACTGGATCTGTCAAAAATGCCAGACATAATTAACAAGTTGTATGGTGAGAAATAGCAGCAAGCATTTGATTCGATATTGTCTATTCCTTGAGTGGGTTCCTTACAACGAGTTTCTGAAGGATAAGATGTTTTGGTGAAATGATCAGTCCATTCGTCCATATTATTGGGATTCTATCACATGCGCATTTATTCGTTCACATTCACTTACTTTTGCAAAATTGCATCTATCATGAAACAATTTGAATGTTTGTATTTACGTGTTTTTTCCCACTGTGTGTATTGTCTTTCACTGTGAAAGTCATCTCCAAATAGTTATTTTTACCGGTTCTTTGTGGGTTGTATAAAGGTTCTCTTGCTGCTTATGCAGTTGACTTCGGCCACCTTAGAGGAAAAATTATCAAATGAGGAAGGTTTACTTATAACTGGATGTAACAAACAAAGGTAAAGTTGCAATGCCGACCACCTATTTTGGAGAAGTTACAGCTACGAGCACCTTTTTGCTGGTTTTGAATTATTTTTCTCCGAAGTGGTCTGTAGTTATAATGTGAAGGTGCGGTAAAACCGTAGATGTATTTCTGACTGTGCACAATTTCTCACGCTTATACAGTAGTTTCTAAGCCCAAGTAACCTTAAGTTTAATTTGATTCCTTGCATACTGCCTTACTTTACAATTTCATGATTACGTAGTTAAAAGCAACTAGTGGTGTAGTAGTTCCTAATTCTCAGGTTTTGTCTATTTAGGAGACTTTTTGACTCAATTCGTTTCTCTCGTCTACATTTGCACTATTGTTTTTTGCTTATAGTAATAAAGGTTCTTTTTATGTTGTTGGCAAATTTACATACCGTACATCATCGGGGTTCATCTATTTGAGTAATGTTAACGATGGAAATGTGTTCCTGGGTTGATAGGATGTTTCTGTTAACCTCTACAGGAAGGTAAGAAAAAATGATTTGAGGAAGATAGTGTGACAAGGGAAGGATACCAGGTCGAAGTGGCCATTTGTAACGAGACATACACCACTAGATGTGTTTTTGGACGCTGATCTCGAATCTGCTCTCCAAATCTGCGAAACGATTTCTCTGAACGTAGTTATGAAGCGAGATAGTGCAGTGGCAGCGGCCCGGCCGACGAGCAAGAGGTCGTGAGATCGACTTCTTGGCGAGTTCTCAGCTGCTTTTCTTGAAAACATTGTTCAAAGGACTCTTATGCATGCTAAATCATCAACGACTGCCTATCCTATAAGTGGAAAGAGCTGGCAAAGAGCTTCGAACACTGTGCGCGTCATTTGCCGTGTCCTGTCAGGTCGTTTGTGCCCACATTTTCGACTTTTATGGGATCAAAAGTTGTCAGGCAAGGAGGTACTTTGATGCGACTGAACGACGAAAATCACATCTGTTCTGGCAAGAAAAAGCATTAGAGCATGCTGTGAACGGTGCCAGGAGACGGCTTTGTTGCAATGAGCACACAGTAGTCGAGCACTTCGCAAGCTTTTTACCACCTGTGAATTATGATGGATAGTTCGCTGAATGAGTGAAAACATGAGTAAAATTGCACGTAAACTAAATGTTCCATATTGAAAAGCAAAAGTATAGAATTGCCAAAAAAGTTGTTCTACGACCCTTGAATTCGTCTGCGGGCGCACATTAACCACTGTACTATTGCGCGCATAAATACGTTTCAGCCAAATCGTTCTCGCAAGATTTTGCAGAGCAGTTCCGAGATCTAAAGGTGCAAAATTAAGTGGTGTATGTGTCGTGACAAAAGGAACTTCGACTGAAGGTATCCTTCCAGTCAGTACTATTTTGGAATTTTATTTTGATTCCTCATTAAATAAAATTTTGAGACACAACTAAAGCGGCGGGATGACCAAGCTGTCAATAGATGAGAACGAGTGTACTGTTGAAATGACGTTCCACGAATAAGATGCAAGAGTTTTTTGGTCTGTTTGATCTTGTTGGTCGTTGGAATCATGCAATGGGGGGGGGAGGGGGGGAATGTTGTCTAGTTTCTGGCATAACTCATAAAGCTGTAAAGGAGGGTTTCAAGGAGTCAAGCATAGCGTCGCAGGTTTCGCACTAACGTAGAAAAGTCAGCAAAGCTGCGACGAATCTTTCGAACTCTGACATCAGCCTAAGAATCGGGATTTTGATGGGCCATGCCCTGGAATCGCTATGCATTCGAGTGCTGTTAGGAATTGTAGGACGACATGGTGCCATTTGCTTCCCTACATTACTTTGGGCTGGCCAACGACCTCAGTGTTTCTCCCAGACGAGATGTTATTATTCGATCGACTCCGAAGAGATCGAAGGTTTGTCTGGCTCAGGCGGGAATTGATTGAGATTTGACACAAGGTCATAAAAGTGGTAAGCAGCGCCATAAGCCAGTTGCTCATTAGCTAGTTACTGTTTTGTCCTGCTTCCTGGACAACCTAACCTATTCTATCCTCATATCTATTGATTCCATGTTGTAAAAATATCTTTTAATGTTACTTCAGATAATTTATCATGCTTTTAGGTGGGTAAGAAATCAATTGCTTTTAGCAGCGTTCTTAACGTACACCAGTGGCAGCAGCGAGGTGTTTATTTGGTAGGGGCTCATCACAGCCGCCTCGATCGATGAGCGGTAAGGGTTTTTTTGGATTTGTGAAGCTAAACTTTTCTTTGGACTCTAAATCCAATGTTTCTTGATGAACAATTGTTGTTTGTTCTCTGAACATGGTTGTTTATTTACAGATACAGCGCTCTTTTGAACGATGCGTTTTCGAAGGATGAAACTGTACCGGAACATTGGAGGGAACCGTCCTTGGCTAAGACTTCTGCTCATGATTTCATGGTAGTTCACCCGAAGGTGAGTCAGTTTTCGCTACAAGATCCCTTCCATCAATCGTCTTAAGGCATTCATGCTTTTGTTTTCACTCTCGAGGGAATTCCAAAAATATCAGTGGGTTTCCCTTAACTCTATTTTACTTGAGACAATTTGTTCATTTTGTTCAGGTGCGATGGGGGTCATCTTCAGCTTCGAGTCTTAAAGACCCGCAAAGACAGCTAGACGAAGCTGTCACTCTTGTGAACACTCTCCCTGGGTTTCGAGTTGTAGAGTAAGTTCTTTGAATACTCTTCGGTCATGAGGACAGGCCTGGTTAACTTTTTTTGAATGCAAGGCTACAGAATCACATTTGCAAAGCCCACAGTCATCTGAGAGGACTTTGCTCACATGGGTCACCCAAGATTCCCTGGCGCGCAGGAGGGGATCATTTTGCTTTGGCGGAGGGGGTTTTGTTTAGTGGGATGGGCTGTGATTTTCGAAATGATTGAAAATTGGCTCAGTCAAGATTTAGGATTTGGGGGCAGATTTGAATATTTTTCACAATGTTACGAGTTTTGGGAATTTTGGGGAACTCTCACGGAGCTTTTAGGACATTCCCTGTACTAAGTGCAGCATCCTCCCCTGCCCTGCTGATTGGATTTCTTTTAGGAAACGCTTGGTGAATTTTTTTTTGGAAAAGTGAGGTGTGTTTTTGACCAAGTCCGTGGTTGGGTTTGTCTCGAATGGGGGAGGGCTTACGAGTTAGACGTGACTGGCAAAAAGTGATCCTTCTGACAGCTGATCTAGGTCGTCGCGTGGTCCATCTGCCTTCGCAGTCCTTCAGTGAAAATTCGCACCAATCTTTTTTTTCACTGAACTACTGTTAAAGTGTGGTGACATTATGGGCCTGTTTCGAGGGAGTTCTTTCTTTGGTAAAGCTCAAGTTTTGCTCGTGTTTCGTATCTTTGCAATATCTAATGCATAAATTTTGTCCCATGTGATTCCTATTCAGATCGACTATCGTGGGGGTGGACTACAACACAAAGCGGAAACGAGTATGGGGTAGGGGTCAACTTGAAGCATTAGTAAGTAAGAAGCAACAATCACGGGTCAGCGCTCTCATGGTGAACGTCGACATGCTTTCACCTATACAACAGGTACAACCTTGATTTTTAGGTTTTTTTTTTGATAACAAGCAAGCTCTGGTTCATACATTAATATGATAGGGTGACTCATGCTCTAATCACCCCCTCATTTTTCCTGGTTTCTGGGATGTTTTGGGAGCAAATTAAACGATTTTTTTCGCCGGCTTCCCCTAGTTGGACACATGCCCCGCTCGCTGTGGGCGGAGTTTCTTATGGCCATTATATCCCCCTTATAGAGGG